CGACAGCAATGAAGACAAGAAGCCCTCGGATTCATCTCTCGAGGAACGGCCAAGGCAGAAGGCAATGCCTATGCAGCCTCCGGTGCCAACACTGAGGCTTACGCTGAAGATCAAGGGACAGCCATCCATGACCTTGGGCGAAGAAACGGAATCCGACAATGCCAAGCATCATCATGAAGATCGGCCACCTTTACCAAGACGGCCAACGATGAAGGCGCCTCCTGCGTCCCTTGAACAATCCAAGTGGGTGAGCCCCAACAAGCCAGAGCAGATGGGGATCAAGCTCTGAGGGATACCTCGAATGCTTCGCCGTTCTGGAACCGCAAGTTTCTGACTACCGTGAGTGCCGCACCATCCAACAGAAACATCCAGAATTCAATTCAACTACGTTCCTGAGCATCTGCGAGGGCCCCGTGATAAGCCATGCTGGCTGAAGACCAAGAGAATGTGTACATGGCCTACATCAAGAAGATCTACGGTATGTGTTGCCTGATCAATGACGATGAGGTCATACCAACGGTATCCCGCAATCGACATGGACAAGACCATCACCAATGCCAAATCCATTTGCATATCACGGAATGGATCAGTCCTATGCAAAGCCCATCGTTGAGCAGACTGACACCATCCACGAGAAGGAATTGAAGAGGGCAATCCATTTCATCATTGATGGATCATGCGAACTGTATGAGGCGTTGTGTGCGATCACCCATGCGAGAAATTTCCTTGGCACCATACCAGGCATATTCCTGATGACAATGCTTCCATCCTTTGGTAAATCCAGTTTGACGGATCATGCCAAGAACGGGAAGCAAGGAACGCGATTGTCGCCAGAAATCGATGGCTTGAAAACCTCACATCCCAAGCATGCGCTCAGGCCTGATGGCAAGTCATTCTACAACGACGCTGACATGGAGCTGTAGGTCACTCACGATATGTTGAGCTGGAAGCCATGGGAAGACCCTTGTGGAAGAACACCTGGGAAGAGCCATCATACGACTTGCCCAATGCATCCAAGCCTCGTGATCAAGACCATGAAGATGAGAGCACGGCAGCGCCGAAATCCACCGAGCAGGGCAGGAAGATCGTTCCGTTCAGGAAGAAGGCCGTCACATTTATGTTCCATGCCACCTATGGAACTCAGATCGAGAAAATCATGCAGCAAGGCAACAAGCCAGGACGAACTCACACCCCTCGAAGAAGACAACACGTTCACATGGCACGCGTCGACGATATCATCTACGATGATCAGGAATCAGACGGCGCTGACCCATGTCCCTAAAGGACGCGATGCATGGTTGATCCCTGCATTCGCACGAGACAATCAGTATAACATCCGAATCACGGAAGAAAGAACTGCCCTGTCAGAATACACCATCGATCCATGCAGCATCATCGCAGCATGTGATACCCGATGGACAGCCCCTGCTGAACAGCCACTGGATCATGAAGAATCTCGACCATGATGACCGAGAACAATGTGAATCCAAGATCCAGGAGTTTGGTGAGCACTTCTTTAAGCACATTGACAAGGGCATCGCACCAAGTGTCAACCCGAACAAGAGCAATCCAGCGAGACCAAGAAAAGAGGCCTTCGACAGACCATGATGAAGAAAGCAGAAAGCGTGAGCGCAAGAGAAGATGGATCCGTGAAGGTCAAGGTTAAGGTCATCGTGGAACCTCCCAATCAGGCCAATGTGGCTGAATTCAATCAGGAATTTCAGGACATCTATTTGGACCGGGAAATGTCCAAGGCCGATGCTGCAAAAGAGCTCGACGAGATTAAGCAAGCATTCACGGAGTTCATGGAGAGGTACCACAAGGATCCAAAGAAGGCACACAAGGACCTGACCGATTGCGAACTGAGATCTTTGGCACACGTGAATCCAGATAAAAACATCGAGGAAGATGAGTTCTACTTCGAGCACGCAAGTGAACATCCGACCATGGAAGAGTTCAGAGCAGCGCACAACCCTTCGGGGTATCCACTGCGACTTCCGGTCGGGCTCAAGAAGTTAAAGAACCACCACGACCCCGAGGTCATCAAGTCATTCACGACCGGGATCCTTGATGCAAGGAACTGATGGCCAAGTTGTCGACTACCTCAAGAGAAAAGACTATCCATCCAGCATTTCACTCAACATCCTGACAGCGAACCACGGGAACCTCGCAAGGAGTCCAAAGCTGGATAGTCGAGAACTCAGGTCATGGCCAATCAAGCACCGACCGCTCATCATGCAGATGATGCAGAACAGTGCACATATCCTCTGCATCAACGAGGCAGACGCGTTCCTCTACCCAGAAGACGGTAAGACGCCCGATCTCATCAAGCTGTTCATAAAATGCGGATACAAAGGCATCGTCATCAAGCTATGGTCATCCAAGTCCATCGCATGCTTTGTCCGAGGTGGGAAACACGCCAGAGTCGAACTGTTGGCACGTTACGAAGAGCCAATTCTGGAGTACAACATTCGGAATGTTCAGATGCTTCTTCGGGCTCGAAGACGGTTGCACTAATCCGGACTATGATACTCCAACATCCGACTGTCTGGCATCCACCGGAACATCCATGTTCCTCAGCCAAGAGCAGTATATTGGACAGAGACTGCCACCACGTACCACCGTACAATGGCATGGCAAGAACAGCGAGATTGTCGTCATGCACATCGAGCACAACAATGAGATCCGTGGAGCATTTCCCAAATCCTCTCAGGATCCTGTCCTACGACACCCGCCATGTCACCATTTGCCACCATTGGAGTGTTCCATATTCATCCGGACGTCATCCATGGTGCAGCAAAAGAAGACGTACAGAAGGGTGTCATGCCGCTCGTTACGGAGTACCACTGCGATGCGATCACAGGCAATGCCAACAAATCAGACATGCCGTTGGCGGAGCGAATGGATTTCACCATGTCGACTTCTTGCACAATCAAATCCATTGCTCGCCGCCATCTTCATATGAGGGAAGGTTCAGGATTTGACAGAACGTTTCCGGATTGCATGATGACCTTCGTGTTCAGTTGGGGAAAGACTGACAGCCAACAAGAATTCCGTCAATTCGAGATTGCCAAGCTCGATCAAGACACGATGGATTCCACGATGGAAGCTGTTGACAAGGTCATCTCCGACTACAAGGTCACTTCCGCCGAGCACTACAAGCACATCAACAATGAGATGCTAATGCTTGGACCATGCGACTCCGACTCTCACACCCCATTGCTGGTCTATGTTCGCAGCCTCGCAGCTGATCAAGAAAGAAATTTCCACCGCAAGAAGGAGTACAACTAGAACAAGAAGAAGGAAAAAGAGACCGCATGGAAGCCATGGGACCAATCCTATCAGCAAGGATGGAAGAGCTCTGGCTACCAAGGATGGGAGGATTATGGCGGAGGATATGCAAGTCAATCCGATAGCAGATACTGTTGGTACTCGCAGAGCGATGAGATATGAGATATTCTGACTACCATCCACGTTGAGAGCATTCGCACGGAAAACGACAAACGAATTGCAATCAATTGATCCTCCTGCACATCAAGACTAGGCCTGCGAGGGATCAATAGCTTCAGACAATCCCGCGTGCACAAAGTGTTTCTCACATTTCCGTTTTAGATACAGTTAGGTATCTCGTCCAACCAGTACAAAGCATTTTCCATTTTGCCAACAAGACAGTTCATCCGCGACAGAAATAGGATGATTTAAATTTCGATATGGCTACGGCAAGCACACCATATCCATGGCTACGGCTAAAGGCCATGACGCCAAGAATACCATCTTGGTGTTCAGGGTCAACAGAAATTGTGTCTGTTTTTGTGTTGCTTTTGCTTCGCAGTTGACCCTGCTCCACACATTGCTATTTGGCTCAAGGCCCCTCTTGTACAATAGTTGCATTCATCCTGCAGCCATTACAAAAGGACCTAGCAGAGCGCCTTGCAGGGATATATCACACATTATTACGATTCTCAGTTCCTCTACCACAAGGTACCTGCTCCCTTCAATGATGCGGCACCCGGCAGTGGGTCTCACCCCCCCCCTTACAGGGCTGTGTGTCAAATGGATTTGAGGTAGCCCAGTCGTTTGCGCAGCTTGACAAATTCTGGTTGAACACATGTAACAATGCAGCAGCTTAAATGTTGTAGGCCGAACTCCGGTCCGTGAAAGTGCACAGAGCCAAGTGGTGCACAGAGCCAAGCGCATAGACCCAAATGTATAGAGCCAAGTGTGTAAAGCCAAGTGTGTAGAGCCAAGCGCATGAAGCACGAAGCTCGGCGTCAGCAGCTGAGATTCACAGAGAAGATACTAAACGCGCGTGAAAGAAAGAGGAAGAGCTCCGCAAAAACATCTTCTTCTTAAGGCGGGGGGTGGGGTTGCTGTCATCGCTCGGGATTGCGACCCTCCGCGGAGCTCGACGTGGTCGATGTCAAAAAACTGAGGGCGTTTATGTCTGAATTGCCCGCGCGACCCTCTCCGGAGATCCGTGTGGTTGATGTTAAAAACAGGACCTGTTACGATGTGTGATCTGCGCGCGCGACCCTCTGCGGAGATGCATGCGGTCGATGCTCAAACGCTCAGGGCTCTGTACGATTTCTTCGAGTTGTGCGCGGCGGTCTGATGGGATTGCGTGTGTCGAAGTGCTCTCGCTGTCGCCGTGCGAGTTTCTTGCTCGCGAAGTGGTTGTCTCGTGGTTGGCGCGCCTGCTTTCGCAGTTGCGCGGTCGCGGGTTCGCTTCTCCGGCTGGAAATCGCAACTTTTCACTGCGAAAGTAGTTCGCGAAGTAGACTTCCGACGCTCCGGCTGGAAAACTGCAACTTTTCAGTACGAAAGTGTTATGCGAATAGAGGAGACTTGTTCGAGCAACTTGCATTGAGAGCTTGCTTGGAGAACTTGCTCAGAGGAACTCGCGCGAACAACTTGCTCGGAGCAACTTGCGCAGAGAACTGGCCTGGAGAACTTGCTCAGACGTCAGAGCAACGTGCACGGAGAACTTGCCGCCGCTGCTAATGTCTTCGGGCCGCGAGATGCATCTAGGCCACGAGCGACGCAACCCGTTTCTAGTGTGGGGTGCGGTGAGAGGATTGTGCAGCCTGGACGTCAGGAGTCGGCAGTGGAGGCAGCGAGGCCAGGCAGTGGAGCGACCCACAGCGCAAGCCAGAGCTTAGCACTAAGCGCAGGGCTGGCGCAGCAGGACGGCGTTTAGTCATGCGCGTTTGGCGAATATGCCTTTTTGCACGCTCGAGCTTGCTTGGCCTAGAGGCAGTTGTGTTACGATCCTGAGGACACTCCCTGCATCTCACCCTTTCTCGTCGCGAACGCTTTATAGTTTCTTCATCCAATTGCGTTTCGTGATTGCTTTGGGTGGAGATGTCCCTACGAGCGAGCCAAAGCATTTTGAGGGCCGTGCGTCTTGGCGCGTCAGGAGTCGGCAGCAGGGGCAGCTGGCGGACAAACAGAAGCAAGAGCAGTGCCAAGTGGAGAGGCAGAGCTGGGCAGCGGAGTTGCGAGCGATCTAAGCCAGAGCCAAGCAACCGTCGCACGGCCGGCGCAACAGGACGGCGTTCTTCAAGCTGTTCGGGTTGACAGGTTTTGTTGACACTGTCCAGGGTTTATCTCCACTTTTGCGAAGGTTGTTTTTTGCTGAACGACTGAAAGCGGTTCCGAGGTTGGTGTTCGGCGGGTTGGTTAAGGTGTAGAGTGGTTTTTGGATTGGCTTACCTGTCCGCCAAAGCTTTCCCAAGCAACTACTGCGAGAAGTGTGTCCTGCGTGAATCGCCTTCCCGCAATCTAGCGGAAAAAGGAACTCGACACAAGGCAATTTGTGAAGCGCATCCCTGCAGCTCCAGCCGCGGAGGATGCCGCCGCTCAGCTCCCTTGAGTAAGACCTGCCCTGTGCCTTGGAACAGCCGCGGCTACGCTTGCGGGCGTGCAAGATGCTGGAGAGAGAGAGAGAGAGAGAGAGAGAGAGCGGCCAAGATTTTGGCATCTCCAAGTTAGATACACTATGTGCAACCCGCAGGCTGCTGTCATGGTATGCGCAGAGCTGGAGAGAAAACAAGGCTGTGTAACTGCAGACGAGCGCATTTGGATCGCGTGCCGCGCTCTCGAAATGTTGCGCTTTTCGGCCACCTGCTCTTCTGGTTTTTGTCCGCGGGCGTGTGTGTGGCCAGTGGCTGCGCCAAAGCAGCAGAGTTGACCATTGCTTCTTTCCGGTGAGCATTCAAAAGGTTGAACCTCTTGCGGTGCGTCGGCGCGCGCGTTTGATTTGGAGTGACATGCTGTTGGGGTCAGCGCTATTTACTTTTGTTCCGTTCGGCTCCGCCGGTCTGTTTTCGGAGCCTCCGGCTCCCGCTCCCCATCGCCGAAAACACATGCCGGTGTCATCGTCGTTTGGACTCCCTTGACGACCGCCCTGCAGCGCGTTCTCGTTTTTTCTCGTTGAGCTTGCTTCAGCTTTGTTTTGATTTTTCTTCGGGATGGGGTCTTTGGCTGGCTGGCTGGTTGGTCGGTTGGGTTCTTTCCCGCACCCTCGGCAGCGCCAGCCCTAGCTCAGATCTTTCTAAGGTCTTGGGTTAAGGGCTGACATTTGCGTCAAGTGTGCTGCTGGTTTCGGTGGCTTTAGGTTTGCTTCAAGGTGTGGTCACATAGGTTTTGAGCTAGTCTTGGGGGTTGGGACCGTAATCTGCTTAAGTGAGGACGTTTGAGAGGGTAATTTCTGGGCCGCGTGAAACAGCGGTTTGACAGGCTCTGTTGATGGGCAGGAGTCAAATGGAGCAGCTGGAGCTGCCGGGGATGTTGGTGCAGTGGGCTCAGAAGCGGCCAGTGCAATGGCAGCAAGCACGCTGCTTTCCGCAGCGGAGCCAAGCAGCAGGCTAGCTGATCTAAGCCAAAGCAAGCGCCAAGCTAATGCGGAGTTGGCAAGTCAGGAGATGCCGGCATGACGCGCCGATGGCGCCTGTGATGCTTTGTATCTTGTTTGTTGGATTAGGCTTAGGCGTGACATTCTTGCTTGACGTACCGCTCGGCAACTGGGAGTCAGGAACAGGAACGTGCAGTCGGGGATGCTGAACGGACGGCTTGGGCAAAGGATATTGTGTTGATAGCAGTTGTGTTTTGTTTGGTCTTTTTACCTTGAGTTGCCACAACCCACAGCGGCTGGTTGGTGATGCTTTCAGTGGACAGGTGCTAGCACGTGCATATGTGAGGGTAAGCAAAGGCTGGGCTTTGTTGTCTTATTCGCGCTTTGCCTTTGCACTGCAATGAAGACGAGGTGTCTTTTACGCTAGCTTTGATGTTTCTGAGGGTCTTGGGACGGTTTGGGTTTATGACGGCTCAACAAGGGGCTGACATTTGCTTGGAGTTGATTTGTGTCAGGTGTTTCGGTGGCTTTAGGTTTGCTTCAGGGTGTGGCCACGTGGGTTTTGAGCTAGTTTTGGCGGTTTGGACCGTTTCAGGGGGGGGGTGCGTTTTTCTAATGATGTCGAGATTTTTGAGGTTGAGGCCAACGGACTGTGTCTATCGTGTGCTGCAAAGCCAAGCAATCCCGACGTGGTATGGTATGACGGTAATTTGCCTGGATCAAACCCCATGGATCTTTCCCACGCTATTAACAAAGCGTTGATTCTGAAAGGGGTCATCGAGTTGATGCAGGCTAATTACAATGCGCCTTGTGGGTTCTTGAGCACTACGATGGCAATGACCCAACTTATTGTGGTTTGTATTGTCCTGGTTGTTGAATTGATGATGATGAGACGAATCTTGACGATGTACCGGAGCAGATCGCTGCACCAGCACCAGCAGGAGTTTGTCAGTGGATTGTCGACACAGGTAGCGAACAAGATCTGGTCGACACAGAGCGTGCAGTTACACTTCTAAAGAGGGTCAATACTGCATCGACCCCAATCAATCTTTCAACAGCAAATGGCTCAATTTGCGCAGACAAGATTGTGGATTTCTCCATCGATCAGTTGAACGAGGTCGTCACTCCGTATGTTTTGCCGAGTACGCCAGCTGTTCTTTCTGTTGGTCAAAGATGCTTGGAAAAGGGCTACGATTTCGTATGGAGAAAGAACAGTGCTCCGTATTTTGTGCGACCTGACGGGAAGGCGGTGATATTGAAGCTTGATGGGCGAGTTCCATACGTTGATGATCAGTGCAAGGTCATAGCTTCCGAATCTGCTATGCCTGTTGCGCTTGCAGCGCCTGATCAGAAGATCGGGGGCGTTGGAGAGCCTTCGTTTTCAAGTAAGAGGCGTTCTCCGCCGGATGCCAATTGTTTCCGTTGTGCCCTGATGAAGCTGAACCGCCTGAGCCAGAGTTTGACCCGGAATTGGAGGTCAACCCTGAAGTTGCTGAAGCTCCAAAGCAAATGTCCAAGCGTTCAAAAGAGATGATGATGCTTGAGGTCAAAAGCAAAAAACATCTTTTCACTCACAGGCCCAAGAATCCGTTTTGCGAGACATGTGTACGAGCCATGGATTTTCCTCAGCAGACGCAAGGCGTTTGGAGATCATGTGACTGCTGACCAATGGTATCTCAAATGACGAGACGTATGGGTTCAAAGGTGGGTGGAATGCTTTGGTGGTAAAAGATGTGTTCACGCAGTTTCGGTATTTTTACCCTTCTTCAAGGCAAGATGCTGACAGTTGCGTTTGTGCATTTGAGCGTTTCACGAAGCCAGATGACCACGTTGGGATTTTCTATTCCGACTGGGTTGGAGACATGTTCTCAGCCAACCATATGTCAGTCAATCTTCTGGAGTCATCGAGTGTGAGATCCGTACAATCCTGGAGTGAGCAAGGGCGAATCTGTTTCAGAGCGGGTTGCCAGTTGAGCTCTGGCCATTGGCAGCTCAGCATCATAAATTTGCTCTCAATGTTACAAATCCAGATGACAAAGACAAGTCGCCGTGGGCTTTGAGTGTTTTTTCCCGCAAAACAAGTGATCGCCGACGACAAGCCATGTTCTCCGGATGAACTGGAATTTGAGCCGGAATCACATTTGCAGCCTGGCGAAGCAGCGGTGTCCGAGGAGGTTTTGATGGAAGATCCTCCTGCACCTGCTGAGGGACTTGCTGACCATGATCCTGATCACATGCCGGATGAGTGGGATGGTTTTCGTTTGGTGAGAGCTAGTAAGTCAAGTCGTCCGCCTTATTCCATCAGACATGTGGAAATTGGCATCTCCCAAAGAACGTGCTCGCGTTGCTGAGGAGTATCGCAAGGAGCTTGAGAAGAAGAAGGAGGCAAAGCCAGCTGCTGCAGATGTAGCTGCCACGGCCGTTTGTGTTCAGCCCAATCACGCTGTTCATGATGTCATGGTCAGGGGGGCACGGTTACAAAGCTCCCGTCGCCGGCAGCTGTTGCCTCAGCTGTCCCTGAAACTTTCGCCCCTGCGATGCCTGTCACAATCAACGAAAAAGGAAAGACCGTTGAGGAGCATCGAGCATGTGTTGCTGCAGTTATTGAGGAACATATCAAGGACAACCGTGAAGATTTGGTCAATGCTTTATTGATGACTGCTCCGCGTTCGGAGTTGCAAACACTCCTGAAGCGAAGAAAGCTTTGGATGTCGAAGGGGAGAAGCTCAGAAGCAAGGGTACCTGGGACGAGTCGCGGGTAAAAGAGTGCAAGACGGTTATTGCTGAAGCCAAGGCAAAAGGGGAAAAGGCTCATATAGCCCGTATCTTTGAGGCTTGTTACCTCAAGGGAAGCGAGCTTGCTGTGGGCGACCCTAGCCGGAAGTACAAAAGCAGAACCGTTTTTTAAGGAAACCGTGTGGTTGATGAGAACTATGAGCAAGCGATGCTGAACTTGGTTCTTGCCCTGCGTGCATGGAGGCAGCCTGGATTTAGCGTACACACAGGCGTTGTTCGAAGGCATCGCTACATGGGTGGGACTTCCACGAGACCGTTTGCCCAAGGAATGGATTGGCAAGTGCAATGATCCATTGTCACCTTTGATTTGGCATTGTCTGGTCATATTGACAGCGGTGGCTTGTGGGAGAATCATTTCGAGACTGGTCTTCGAAAGAACAAGTGGCGGCCATTGTTGAAAGGTATTTGGCAAAGTGTGTTCTTCCATGATGCGCTCAAGCTTCTCTTGGTTGTTTACGTCGACGACCTCATGCTTGCTGGCCCAACTGCAAATTTGGCAAAGGGGTGAAGAACATTGAGTCGCAATTGAGATTGACACGCCGGAGTCGCTCGGAAGATATTTCGGATGCGAACATGTCGAGCAAAACCCGGTGATGTTGACGAGAGATCATCATCCGTTTGCCCGTGTGTTCGAAAAGCAGAGCGCAAGTTCCCTCATAGAACAGAAGATTATTGGGAGCATTTTCCTGAGGAGAAGACTTGGGTTCGTCACCATCTTTATCCCAGAAACAAGAGATATGCCCCGAGAACTTTGAGGGACTGCTGGATCTCCGTGTGACCTGCGTTGCAAAGGGCAGCACGTATGAGTATCTCGAGGACTCATGGAAAGCACAAGCCGGCTTCAAGGAGAAGAACTGGTGGACCGGCTGCGCAGTTTTCAGCTACGCCGACCATGTGGACGGACATGCAGCCGCAGCAGCAATGCGAAACAAAACTGCTGCAAAGAAACAATCCAAGAAGTCCAAGTTCAAGGAGCTCATTATACATGGATTATCCAAAGGACGGTTGCATGAAGAAACCTGTCAATATCGTTCATTACGACATGGCCGATTTCTTGGGTTCCTGTGTTGAGTCGTATTGTGAACTTGCAAACACTTCTCATGCAACTCTCAAGAATGTTTCGACGCCGTTTCATGAGTTGAGGGCTGCACTTCCGCGTGAAAGCGAGAAAGAACCAACTGGCAAGTTGCAACCAATCGCAAGTCGGGTTTTGATGAAGATTCTTTTTGCTGCTAGAATGGCGAGATATGATCTTCTTCGTGCAACTCAGTCTCTTGCTTCACGCGTGACGAAGTGGTCCAAGGATTGTGATGAGGGGTTACATCGTTTGGTTGCTTACAGCAATTCAACCCTCAATCACAGAATGTCATGCTTTATTGGGGACAGTTTGCTGGATTGCCGACTGTGGGTCTTTGGTGACGCTGACTACGCAGGTGAGTTTGACTCCAGGTCAACTACCGGCTGCGTTGCGGTCATAGTCGGTCCCAACACGGGTTGCCCAATCAATGCATTTGCGAAGAAGCAGACAAGTACTGCTATGTCGTCAACAGAAGCCGAAGTTGTTGCTGCTAACCATTCAGCGCGAGCACACGGTTTACCCACTCTTTCACTCATGAGTGTGCTGGCCAAGCCGATTCCTTTTCCAGGCCGGGACAACTCCGGTCAGGGGGGCAATCCGGTTTTGGTGCCCGAGTTGGACGAGATTCGGAATGGTGGTATGGAGCAGCGTGAAAGGACGATAGCGCCTCTTCGCGGAGTAAACGTTCATCTGAAGTTCACAGTTGCCTTTTGCGAAGACAATCAAGCAACCATTCACATCATTCAAACTGGAAACTCCGCACAGCTTCGACATGATAGTACCATCCAACTGCACCCACCATACTCCAATGAGATTGCATGCATGATCGCACTTTGCTTTGCTCGTAAACGGCTTGGTCAAGATGTCCGCAACCTGATAAACAGTATTGACGTTGACGAGGTTAAAGAAACCTTTCGAAAACTGTTCTCTGAGCCATGCCAAAGAAGTTCTTTGGCTTTCCACGCATGAAACGTATGATCGTTTTCTATGCGAGTTTTGCTGTTCAGATGATTCCAAGCTCGGCGACAAGTCAAGAGAATCCGCGCATGGTTGCAAGGTGCTGAGAGTAACTGAGCGTCAGAATGCGTTGGTTGCTGATACCTTACAATGGGTGTTTGACGAGGCGCAGAGTTTCAGGAAGAATTTCAAGTCCAAAACACCAACCTGCGTGATGAGTCATGCCTCACTTCCAT